AACACTTGGAATTGTGATTTATTGTAAGTTCTTCTTTTTATTTTTAATTCATGAAAATGATTGTATTGAGGGAGATAATGAATTGTGTTGAATTGATTTTTACTTAGCTAATTCTTTTTTCTAGGGATAAGGGATGATTATTCTTGTTTAACGTGTATTTGTTGGGCTTTGATTTGTTCATGCTTATGCGAGTTGAGTAAACTTGGAATTGATGTATTCTTGCTTAATTGATTGATATAATCGAAGAGTGACACTTCGATCTTGCAATTGGAAACATTGAATATTTATTTGTCGAGTTAGGGTTTGACAATTCTTTGTGATTAGTTTATTAATCAACTTGTAATTGAATTAGTGGCTTTTAGAATCGAAAGGGGAGAAGTCGTAGACTTAGGCTCGCATGAGATAAATGATTTCGTAATAGAATAGTCTATAGGTTTCGAATTGAAATACATGCTTGTTGATGACCAGTCCCTTTTTACGAAAAGTTAATGGGATTGGATAATTGGCCGGTGTTGCATGCTCAAGCTTGTACGTCTATGTTCAATCCCTTGTTACGAAGAGTTATTGGGAGCGAACCGCTAGATGTCTAAGCGAGAGTATCAATCTCGAACCGAATGATTAATTATCCGGTTTTGCTAGAACTTGAATTAATTGACCCCGACTCCCTAGCTTCTTCATTGTTGTTTCGTTTATATTTTTGGGTAGATTATTGTTTATTTTATTTCTTAGTTAATAATTACTCGAACCCCCTTATTTGATTAGAGTGTTTAGGATTTATTTTATTTTTATGTGCTATCGATACCAAAGCTGAATTCTGAACTGCCTTCCTCGTGAGATCGACCCGGGAAATGAATCTTTCAATTCGGTACTCGGTAAAAATAACAATTTGTTCTTCAACCCGACAATTCTTAAAAAGTACATGTTTTAGCCAAAATAGTATCGCATCTTCTTCTACGTGGTACCTCTTTTTGATCGATTAGTACCTACTTTTTCTAAACGAAAATGGATTATTTCAATTTTGGTCAACAATTACAAAAAGTAGTACCAGACATAGAGTAATATAGTACCCGTTTTATATTGTTGTAGTACCTGATATTGGGTCTTTAGTACCACTTGTAATGAACACATAAAAACACCGAATTTCCATCTCAAATGATATTTATATGACCTATAATCACTCTCACATTAGTTTATATGCGATTTAATTTTTTTTAATTGTGTTTAATAGTAAAATTGTCATAAACTCGACACATGAATGAGAAACACTATTAGCACACTTCATTTCATTGAATGACACACTTCATCTCATAAAATCATCATATATGACTATTCCAAATTCTACCTATATGTTTTAACTTTCACTATTTTTCATTCAATCACGCGTGAACGATCCACGTGTCGTGGTAGACATGCAGGATTAGAGGAATCACAATTCTTAAAATAGTACATATTTTAGCCAAAATAGTACTGCATCTTCTTCTACGTGGTACCTCGTTTTAATCGATTAGTACCTACGTTTTTGAACGACAATGTATTTTCAATTTTGGTCATTTACAAAAACTAGTACCAGAAATAAAGTAAGGTAGTATCAGTTTTATATTGTTGTAGTACCTAATATTGGGTATTTAGTACCACTTGTAATGAACAAATAAAAACACCAAATTTCGGTCTCAAATGATGTTTATATGACCCATAATCACTCTCACATTAGTTTATATGAGATTCAAAATATTTTTTATTGATTTTAATCATAAAATGGTCATGAGCTCGACACACTAATGAGAAAACACTACTATACACTTAATTTCATTGAGTCAGACTGTACCCATTAAATGGTAGTTTAAGACCGAATATCGCGTATTCAGTACCAATTCCAACGAACATAAATAAACATTGAATTTCGGTGTTAAATAATGTTTTCATTATTCAAAATCACTTATACATTAATTTTATGAGTATTTGGATGCGTTTAATTAAGTTTACTCGACAAGTGGTCATGAACTCAATAGAGCTTTAATTTTGAAATTTAGAGATATTTTGATTTTTTTTTAGATAATTTTCATTTTATATAAACAAATTTGTCTTTTAATTTCAATATAAATAAAAATTATCCATTAATATATCCACAACCGCAACATTCCATATTTATTGCAATTAAAATCACTTAGGCGAAACATTCCATATATGAAATTGATAAACATGATGTATCACGCATTAAATTGGTTGATATCCTATCATAGTTTTTATTTTTTTTCTTTTAAAAAAAATAAATGATGTGTATAATTTTCAACAAATAAATATTTAAAATTTAAATCCTTCTTCATGCACAGGGTTTAATAATAAATAAAATAAGCTCGCCTTAACGGCTTTTTATGTTGAAGTTATATTCGTTTTAGTGTTTTAAAATGTTTATAGGGTAATCCGTCGCGTTTTGGCTCTTATACTATGCAGCGTAATAGAAATTTGTGTTGCGTAAGCTATTAGAGTATAAAATTTTATTTGTTAGAAATATCAAATATTTGCATATAATAAAATTGATTTGTTAATTTAAAAAAATTATTTTAGTAATATTATATGACACTAAATTTTAAAATAAGATAAATAGTTGAGTATTATGATTAATGAAATGAGGGCAGTTTATTTTGGCATGAAATGCCCAAACTTAAATTATATGAATTTCATTTGGTATGGATAGAAGTATATTTATTTTTGAAAATAAATAAGTGGTATGAATTTTATTTGGTATGTTTATGAAAGTCGAATTTAGGTTGATTTGTTATAAAATTAAGGTGATATAATTCTCAATTTTTAGCATATTCCTATAATAACTTGTCATAAGATATTAATTATAAGTTTATAAATAGCCCGATCGAATGTCATGAGCCTAAGTGGCAGACTCATATGTTTCAGAAGTTTATTTAACATAATTATATGTTTTGTATTGGCACATATACATGTTTGGTTTTAGGCTTGAGAATTACCATAAATAATTTCAGGATTTTTTTTCCCCAAGTTACCATATACTACTCTTACTCTTTCTTATTACATTCATATAATAATTGTTATAGTAAAGATGTATTCTTTTTATTTTTAAATCTTTGTGTTTTTATTTTTACTTTATTTCTTGTATGTTATATCTCAAAATAATCATATTTTAATGATCATCGATTTGACATTCATATTGCATATTTAAAATAAAAAATAATTACATCTATCATTATAAAGAAAACTATATTTATTAAAAAAATAATTTCAACAATATGAATACAACCTAAAATATTTTATAACAAATATAATTAAAATGTAATTAAGTAATACACCATAAAATAATTATTTTAATGCATTTTAGCATAGATTTTAAATAAAATAAGAAAATTAAGTGCAAAAACACGGACCTCATTTTCAATTTTGAATTAATTATTACTTTGTTAGTTATTTATAATTTTTATATATTCATTATATATAATTTTAAAAAATAAAATTAAATTAATTTAATTTTTCTATTGTACAAATTTAATATATTTACGTACCCGTGTAGTATACGGGTATCATACTAGTTGATATATATCCCTCTTCAAAATTAAATATATCTTTGAATAAATATTTTTTAAAAAATTAGTTTATAAATTTGAACTACAAAAAATATAGATTTATAGATTTAGTATAATATAGATTTATATGAAATAAAAATAAATAAAATATATTTTTTTATTTGGATAATTTATATAAAAATAAAATTTACATTAATTAATACAAAAATTAAGAAAAATTAGTAGTAGGAGAGATAAATAGTAGATTATGATAAAAAAGAAAATAATAAAAAAATATATGAAAAGAAAGAGAAAAAAAATAATAGAAAATAAACAAAAATTGTAGTGGAAAGAGAGAAAAATAATAAAATAATATGTAAAGTTAGGTTGGTAGATGTCATTTGTGTTTTTATTTTTGATTTATTTTAAGTTTCCCAACAATCAAACCCGGATGACTCAATCTAAGTGATTCTGGCTTACCAATAAAACTGAAGAAAGTACTGGTAGACCAAACAAGTTGGGATAAATAAAAGAATCCCATAATCAAGGGAAAATTTTATAACTGCTCCTCTTTACAATGATTTTACAAAGTAGTTGTAAGCCACGCACAATACCCAATATACTCCAAACATTAGACAAAAATAAGTAGACACAAAAAAAAATTAAAAATTAAAAATAAATAAAGATGCACTATTATTTTTAAAAACTAGTTATTCAACATTCTTATCTATTTATTTCTCTCTCTTGAACATCCTTATCTCTTTTTTTTCTCTCTCTCCCGTCTCTTTTTTTTTTCATTCTCTCTATTTCTTTTCTCTCTCTCCAATCTCTTTTCCCCCTTTTCTTCTTTACCCTTCTCCAAATATTTCTTCTTATTATTCTCCTCCAAATTTGAATACCTAATTAAAAAAATCAACAACCAAAAAGATATAATATACACAAAGAGAATAACATACATAAAAATTAAATTAACTAAAAAACAACAAATTTTTTTTTTTGTTATTATAACTATAGAAATTGATGACAAAAATTATGAAAACAAAAAACAAGATTAACAACAAAACAACAATATACAATTTGTCAAACAACATAAAAACAACTATAAATCAATAATAAAATATTGACAAATTCAGTATTATAAACAAATAAATTAATAGAACAACAAAAAGTCGTAACAAATTCATCAAAATTACACAAAACAATTAAAAGAATCATTAATAGTAATCTCATTTGGGTTCATTACCACGGGCAAAAAAATCAATGAAGTAACAATAAAACAACAACATAAAAATTATCAAGAAACATAAAAACAACTCTCAATTACCAAAAAAAATACATAATTCAACATGAAATTCCATACCCAAACAACAACAAAACGAAAGGCTTTGAACATACTGCTCAGTGACAAGTATTGCCTCCAATTAATGATTGGTAATATAATGTCAAAGTTCATGTTAATTCCTGCAAAAACTAGCTCTCACTACACAAACACAATGAAATAAATTACAGAAATAATTGAAAAATCTAAAGCAACGGATTTGATTATAAGACAAGTACCTGATTAGATTTTTCGAGGTAATGCGAGGAGCTTTGATGGCAGCACCGATTAAACTACTCCCCGTTATATATATTCCCCTAACAATTTCCAAAAACTCAAAATAATCAGGCCGAAAAAAAAAAGGAAAAATACAGAGCACGAGTACGAGTACGAGGAAATACGATACCAGGTGGCGCCGAGGACGGAGACGCCGATGGATATGGCGATTCCGATGGTGGAGAAGGTGTACGGAGAGATCAGAACCAGAGCTTGTCCCCATGAGGCGTATGACGTCACCATCGTGGTGTCCAAAAACTTGTTAAACTTCCAAATTTCTCCCTCTCTCTACCTCTTGTTGAGATCGGAAGAGAGAACATATTTTTTCTGATCGAATTAATTCGATCGTGGGAGTATGATACTGTCAGACTAAAAAGACGTGCTATTTAATAAATTAAAAAATTAAACAAAAATTTAAAAACCGCCTCACCGGTTACAAAATTAAATAATTAAAAATTTGTAAAATGGGTATATTTGTAAATGAAATGGAGTATAATTGTTTAAATAGAGAGCAAGGCTTTTAATGTAAAATGTATAGGGAGAAAGTCACGGGGCGTCATTATTTCCATAATCAACGAATGAGCCTAGTTGTCGTGTTTGAATATAATTAAGGTCGCATGGCCTCTTATTGCTTTTGCATAGGCAATTATGCAAAAAACAAATAATAGAGATGTGATCCAGATTCTCAACAAGTCAATATTTTGTAGAGATCAAGATGACCTTAATTAAAATCACTTAATATTAATTTTAAATATTCATAAATAAATACTAATGTTTAACAATATTGAAGGACATCTCGCGATTTTTTCTTTGGCGAAACCTTCCCCCAAAAACCCCTCGGCGCGCATCTCAACTTTTCGGCAGATTCGCCTTCCTCGGTGACGGTTAATTTTGGCCAGGGGTCGTCGATGACTGTCCCGCCTCTATTGACGGCGTGCGCCTCTGATTCTCAGTGGATGTGGTCTCGATTGGAATGCTGGCTCTCGGTTGCAGGCAGAGACTCAATTGGTGGTGTCCTTCCCGGTCGGAGCTTGGCGGTGGTGTCCCTCCGTTGCCGGCGATGTTCCCATTAGTGGTGGTAAATCTCTCTTTTCTCCCTTGTCTGCGATTGCTAGGACGTTTTCGGCGGAGCTCCGTCTTTCAAACGGGGTTGTATCTCTGGTTGGGGGGTCTGTGGAGATGTCAGGCGGTGTGCGGGTCTATGGGTGGTCGGGACTCCAGGCTGCGGCGTATTGGTCGCGTTGGTCGAGGTGAGGGTCGTATTCTCTCGCACAATCCCCCGTTTGACTAGTGGTTTTAGGCAGCGGGAGAGGTTCTATTGGCCTCGTCTAGTGGTGTTAGAAGAGTTCGGATGGAATCGGCGTGGAACAGACTATGGCGCTCTCGGTTTTCGATGGGTCGATTCGGGAACTGATTCGGGGTTAGATTTCTTCTACTGTATAGGCTTGATTGCAGTTTCGGTAGCAGGTTCTTGGCCTGGATTAGTCTTATGTTGATCGTTC